ATGGAGAATATTGCACCCTGAGAATTGGTTCCTTCACACAAGGATCAGATGCCAGTGATGGCAGGCATGTCTGAAATTTCAGCATTGGTAAGCCACTCTTAGGAAGGTTCCTCCTGACTTGAGGTCTGGGTCTCTCCTGAGATGCTATTTTTTCTACACCTCTTTTGAGGGGATGCCCATCATTTTCCCACACTTTCACACTCACAGGGTCATTGTCTTCCTAAGCTCCCCCTACCTCTTTTAGACCACCATTTCCTCATCTGCTCTAAAATACTCTGCTTCTTTGAGGATGCTTTTGCTACTCGGCTACACCAACTCGTATTTCTTTTCTGGGCTATCATTGTCCCCCAGTCCCTCTACTTTACTCTCCATCTTCTTGTATTTGTACCTCCATTTCTCCCATTATTCTTCTTCCAATTCCCTTGTCTCTTCATCTTTTTTTTAAATCACATTTTTGATACCTTTTTCTTTCTGTCTTCTGAAATTCAGATGTTTTCCTCTCTGGCCATAATTTCCTTATCTTTCCAGCTTATCCACCACATCTTCAGCCTTATAAGGACTTGCAATTATATGGGACGCATTCTTCACTCTCCTTTCTCTTCACTTCAGAGTCCATGGACCATAACTCTAACTTATCTCTTGTCAGCTTACTGAACTCCTGTGCCCCATTATCAGTCATGTCTGCTTGGTATATTCCCAACTGTGGGTGACTCTGAGCTTTTTCTGCAGTTGCTCCTGAGCTGCTGAGTTCAGTTGGAGAAAAATATAGAGTGAGGCAGATTAATGGCTCCATAAATACAGGGCCCTCACCTCATCTGTCCTCTCAGCATTACCCAGCAAACTTGTGTCATTCCCTAAATAACTCTCTCCTCCATTCTCCATGACAATATACTTCACCTGGGGCTTCTCTTGCCAGTCCCAGCTTGTGTCCCCCGAGCCCCTCATATAAAACAGTTCTCCCTAAGCTCTCTCAGCCCCATTACCCTGCTTAATTTCCTCCATTAGCATATCACAAAGTGAAATTATCTTGTTTGCTTGTTTATTTTATGTGTTCCCCTGCTTAAATTTAAGGATCATATGAACTGGTAACTTCATCTCTTTTTTTACTGCTATGACCCTGGTGCCTAGAATAGTACCCAATGCATTTTGTTCAATGAATGAAAGACAATTTCAATTATTTTCTACTCTTCTCAAACATCTTACTCATTAATTCTGTCTTGATCCTCAGCAAATGACTACTTCCAAGTCAATAGGAAAGGTAGAAATCTTCCAATGGAAAACTCGTTCCTCATCTGCCATTAGAAGTAAACCTTTCATGCAGACATAGAGAATGGACTTGAGGACATGGGGAGGGGGAAGCGTAAGCTGGGACAAAGTGAGAGAGTGGCATGGACATGTATACACTACCAAATGTAAAACAGATCGCTAGTGGGGAGCAGCCACATAGCACAGGGAGATCAGCTCGGTGCTTTGTGACCACCTAGAGGGGTGGGTTATGGGGGGTGGGAGGGAGACGCAAGAGGGAGGGGATATGGGGATATATGTATATGTATAGCTGATTCACTTTGTTATAAAGCAGAAACTAACACACCATTGTAAAGCAATTATACTCCAATAAAGATGTTAAAAAATAATAATAAAAATTAAAATTTAAAAAAAGTGAACCTTTCCACATGTTTTTTTTCCTTTGTCCCTTCTGTTAGGAAAAAAGGTTTCGCTCATTTCCTAAAGTCCGGGGCCTATCCTTTTCCACCTTAGACGGACCTTGATTTTTCTTAATCCTGTCTCTCTCTTAAATCTTGTGTGTAAGCACTGTGATTATGAGCATGGGCTTTGTAATCAGACATGCTTGGATTCAAACTTTAGGTCTGTTGCTGTGAAATTTTGGGCAAATTATATAATATCTCTCAGCCTCAGTTTCCTTGTGTTGGGGATAATAATACCTATGTCATAGGCTTGTTGTGAAGATTGAAAGATTGAATATTTTTATTTTTAAAGTGCTAAGCTTTGTGGTTGGAACAAATTAAGCACTCAAAAGAAAGGTCTTTGTATTATTATTATTACCTCCCTTTCTACTGGCTCCTAAATTTATTAAGCTCATCTTTAAAAATTGTCCTATTTCAACTACATATTTAGCACTCTATTTTTCTCTTCCCTATCACACCTCTTCTCTGGTTTCTACCTCCTGCTCATTTTGGAACCCACTCCAGTCTGGCTTCCCAAACATTTCAGATTTTATTCCCAATCCTGATATCTCATTACTTTCCCGCCCTTCCCTCTCTAAACCTGTTCTGCCTCCAGTGGCTGCATCTCCCAGCGGTTCAAGTCAGAAACCTGGGAGGTAGCCTTGTCCCCTTCTTCTTCTTCCTTCCCTACATTCCATCACCAAGCAGAATTCTGATAATTTTACCTCCTAAATAGTTCTTCAATTTTCCTACATCTCTTTTTCCTTAGATGCCATCATTCCAGTCCAAAGAGCTATCATCTCCCAAAAAATTGTGATACCAGCTTTCCGTCATTCACTCCTGTACCGCACTATTCCATACTCCACATTGTAGATAGAGTGATCTTCTAAAAAATGCAAAGCTGATAATATTATTCCCTTTTCTAAACATTCCAGCAACTTCTTATAATCCTTAGGGCCAAGCCCTTCTTGATCAGATCCTACTTATTTCTTCAGCTTTATCTAGCACCATGGTTCCCATTGTCCATGCCCTAGCCCTGTTGGATTTAATTTCTTTCCACTTTGTTCAGCTCTTTCACGTACTGTTCCACTGCCTCTTTCATCATTCCTCTTTCCTGCTTAAGCCTCTGTTCTCAACCTACATTTTACTTCCTCAGATGGCCCTTCCCGCAGGGTTGGTGTCCCTGTGGTCTGTTCCATATCATCATAGTGTTTGTTCCATATGAAAGTTCCTTGTCTCCTCTCACGATCCCTGAAGGCAGGAACCATGTGCTGTTTGCTCATCAGTGTATTTCCTAGTAGAATGCCTGGCCTATAGTAGACACTTAGCAAAATTTTATTAAATGTTGTTGGTAAATAATTAATTCAGTGAGGAGAAAAACCATCCTATGTCACAACATTTGTTAGGGTTTAGAGCTACATATGGTATTCCTGTATTTAGCTTTGAATATATCTTTAAACATAAATAAATGTGGAAAATAATAAGACTGCTTTTCAACACATGCTCTTATTTTTCTATCGTCACACATTCCCTTATTTTAAAATCTTTTAATGTTTGTTTTTATTCTATACTACAAACACCAATTTTTTCCCCCCATTTGGATGCTTTTGAGTGTAAAATGCCACTTAACATCAGCACGTCTGCCAACTTTCATTCAGTCTTACAGCTGTATTTGGATGACATTTCCATGGACAATTTTGTGAAGTTTTTCGACTAGATGTCGAGTCTAAATCATGTAGTCTTCTAATGGTGCATTTGAAAAGATAGTGAAGCCCACTGAACTGTCTTGTTCTCCAACAAGCCAAATAGAAAGCACTAGGAGGACACAGGGCTGTGGCTTAGACTTTTTGGCTCTTCATAGCCCCTCCACAGGCTGTTTGCATGCGTGGAGACTGCAAAGGGGGAACGTGTTGATGGATTAATGATTCTCTCCTTCCCAGTCAATCTTGGGTCTAAGTAGGCTGTGGAGCTGAATCATCCCTGACAGGGAAAAATGAATACTCTAGAAAGACATGGGTGACTAGAACCTGCTAGCTAAGACACATTGTTTTCAAGGTTATTTATGAAAGCTTCATTATGGAAGGTAGTTGATACTGATTGTGTTTTTATTGTTCCTAAGGAAGAAGTCGTTTTTTTTTTTTTAAATCTGAGAAAACAAACAGATCACTATATATTAGTTTTCCTTGCCTTACTACCTTACTAATATGACCACCAACTCTTTGACTGTTTGTTTGATAATGTAGTTTGGAGCAGCTCTTGTTCATTTTTTAGTGCATCTTGGATCAAAAACGTAATTAGGAAAATTTTACAGGGAAATATTCCTAATCTTGTAATTACTGGGCCTTTCATACTGTTGGAATTAGGATTTGTCAGAACTCTTTTCCCAGAACAGATTAGACTTTTGTTTTTAGATCAGTCTGGGTTATTTGCCTTCTTAAGTCTATAACAGGAATGTTAGGAAGATAGTTTATTTGTATAACCCCATTTGATCCAAAGTTATCATTAACTAGAGGTAATTTAATGGATGTCCCTTGTGTACCGTTTCAGGCAGACCTAGATATCACTTTTAGCAAAAAAGGTAAGTTTGTTCTTTTAAAATCCCTCAGAGGAAGATTAGTCTAGTTAGTTACGAAAAAGTCCTCTAGGGAGAAAGTAAACTGTTGCATATTTCTCAGATCTGCCCTGGCAATTGTCTATACCCAGAGATCCTGGAGGGCTCCTCTGAAGAGTTTGGGATTCCTAATGTTGCAGATTAAGCAAATTCACCCCATGCCCCTTGGATTTCAAGCAGAAGCAAGAAGAGGATATGACAAAGGAATTAACTTTGCGCCTCCAATGTTAAATATATTCTAAATCCATTTTGGGTTTAGGTTTGCTGCTTAGTTGCAATATGATCTCTGGTTCTTTTGGATTCTGATAATTTAATTTACTCAGTTCTTTTACTTTTATAAGTTAAACTGTCAAGAGTTTATATTCATGGATTTCATCATTTTATCTCTTATTTCCAGAGTCTTTTTTTTCCTTTTTTCCTTATCTTTTAAAAAAATAACTTAAGGTGTTTGTCTTAGGAAGGTTAGCAGGATGTCAGTTTTAAAGTGTTCAGAAAATGAGCTGTTTTTGTTTTATGTACATGCTCAGATACTCTGTGTAAACATCAACTAATTCAAGGAAAATTAATTCAAGTCTTTAAAAAGTGAAGAATTACTTTCTCACAAATTAACGCATTCTGAGTTATATTCTTGGGTGGGACACAAAAATAAGAAAATATAACATTAATCTCCTCTTGTTGAGTACTAATATGCAAGGAAAGCTTACCTCATTGCTACTCCAGCACTCCGGAAGGTGGATTCTAGCTGCCATTTATTAAGTTAACTCTGTGGGAAAAATATATCCAGAGTTAGATAGGGAACAGCAATCAGGAGTTTCCCCCTCTCACTCTTTCCTCCTCCTTGGTTGTGGTAGGAAGGTTTGGGGCAGCAGGATCTGCCGCTGATATTCTGAATGCTGAGAGGACCATGCCTTCCTCTGGTAGTATAGAAAATACTGTCCCCTGGTAAGAGGCCCCAGGGCATAATGGAAAGAACACAGACATTTGAAGCAAGATGGACTTGGGCTCAAACCCCTGTTCTGTGATGTACTTGCTGTTTAGTCTTAAGCAAACTGCATTTTCTGATGCTTAGAGAAATTAAATGAGTTTGAAACTGAGTGAGAAAAAATATGACATTTTACCTTTATGATCAGATTCACCCAGTAGAGCTGTGCCTCCTGTTTCAGAGCATTAAAAAGTAGGTACAACCCTCAAAGGTCTATTACTATTATTGCCCTATTGTTACTGACCATGATACCAATTTATTAATGACATAAACTAAGATTTATAACAAAACCTAACACCGCATTTAGGTATCCTTGGAATACAAAGAATATAACAGAATTAGTTAATGCTAAAAGAAGTTAAAAGTGATCTACTGCTCTTTCCTAGAAGATTATAATGATTAAAGATTGGTTATATGGTAGATTTCAAACCCTAAGGATTAGAATTGTGGTCAATGGAACAAACACAGATTATGTTAAGATGTAGAATTTTTGCTAAGATTGTTTATGCACTCAGTTATTCTCTCCATTTTTACTCTGTATGATTTCACTTCACATTGTAAATCTTCAAATGCTGCTGTCTTGTTATATGGCCTGTTAGCAAGTACCTGGCATTTGAAGTGTGCGGCTATTGTGAATGGAACTTCTAAAGAAGAAAAAGTAAACTGTTGCCATCGCTATATGCTCAGTAGTTAAAAGAATAGAAATGATATACATTAAACACATGAGAGAGTTTATAGAGAAGATTCAATTGAAACCATTGTGCCCCAGTACCTTAATAATTTAAATGCAAATACTGGCATATATCCAGAAAGGAAGATTCAATTAAGTACAGTTGTTTCATCTTAAAAAATCATCTTTCTACCAAGAAATCTTGGCAGCCATATTGATGACTTCTCATGAGAGGGGCAGATGGGACTAAAAAGAGGCATGAAATCTTTTTTTTTTTCCACTAACTTTCTAATTCGTCATTTTTTTAATGTCAGGAGGAGCCAGGCCTAGAAATCAAGCACTCTGATTTCTCCTCTTCTCCAGTCCTTAGTTTAGTTACTATAGCTGTCTCTTATCTGTTCAGATGGTATAATTTGTAGTGATGGCATAAGTGGACGTAATGGAAGTGGAAATTGGATATGATCTAGACGGCAGTTTATGGGCCTAGTTTCAAAGACCATTTTTACCTGGAAAATAAATAAAAAGGGTTAACAGGCATTTTCTAGTGATCTGTGGTTTATCTGTTCCTCGTGTTCCACCTTGACTTAGCACTAGTTTCTCAGGAACCTCTAAAACCTCTCCTGCCTATGTCAGAAATCATTTTTTTCCTGAAGAGATCAAAGCTTTTATGGACATTATTTATTGTAGTCTCACAATATTCTAGGGAGCTAAGTAGAGTTTACGTAGCTCCATCTTTATTTTTAAAGTCAAGTGAGGAACAGATAAATCTCTTCACTAAGGTTATAAAATGAGGCCATAGTAGAGGCAGAAATAGACTCCTTAGTCAGAAACATCTCCTAGTTCTGGCCGTTGCATCTAAGATGCAGTAGATTGTTTGGCCTTTCTCTAAACAGGCCTTTGACACTTAGAGTGTGTGGAAAGTATGTGCTTCCGTCAACGAGTTTTGCTGTTTAGTTATTCTTTGCCTGTTAAAGTAATGACTAGGGGACTAAAGAAAATAGAAAGTACATCCAAACCTTAGTTCAGCCTCTGCCTTTAGTTCATGTGAGCTTTGGACAGACAGTGCTTTTATTTCCCTGGGAGTACTTCTCTGTCTTTATACTCAGAAAGAATTTTTCTTTAGGGCACTGCTGATACTGAGAAATTTTAGGGAAATTATTATTATTTTTTTAAAATTAAAGCTTTATGTGTGAAAATTAGACCTTTGAAATAATGTATATTCCAATACTAGACCACCACATTGAAAGAGAGGATTTGGGGAGATAACTGCAAATTTTTACATTTTAAAATGTAGGTTTAGTGCCTTTTCCCCCTTTTTTCTTTTTTCCCTGAAAGTCATTGCAAAAATGAATTACACTTTAAAATTACCCTAATTCAGCAACTTATATTACTATGCATTAAAGTTTTTAAAAATGAAATCGTATGCTTTTAATAAATATTCTGTTAAAATAATTTTTCAACTATGTTTTCATTTGAATATTTTACCACTCAAGGCTTATTAAATTTATGATTTTAATTGTTTTACACACCCCACCCTTTTCTTTTTTAGTATCGATAATGCTTATTTGGAATTTTTAACACAAGACAGGAATTGTTTTTCTTCTTTCCTTTTCTTTAAGGGCTGCTTCTCAAATTAACCTGCATGCCTAAACCTGCATTATAATTCAGAAGGAACTGTGGAATCTATTGCATATGATCTTTTTGTAAAGCCGGGTTAGCACCGCTGTCCTCCTGATCTCTTAAACATTGCAATTTTTGTAAACTTTTCCATGTGCCTCCAGCATCTCCAATTTGTGAACAAGTCTCACTATATTTATCCCTATTGTGTACTTCCACGTTTGTTTTGCAGTGTAATAACACTTGACAGTTATAAATTTTTCCATATGCTCCATCTTGTAGAGATAAACAATATGTGTGCTGTACATTTCCCTCAGCTTTGAAGGCTTACTTTTTGAAATAAACAATTCCATAGGATATTATGCTCAGTTTTGGAAAGTAATTTACACAAACTTTCCATGAAAGGGAAGGCAGTGAATTTTCACCCTTTTAATGTGAAAATTTACCCTTTCAGTGTGAAACTGGTTAATTGAACTTTTCTAAAGGATTGAGAGCTACTTAACTGCTTTTAGGTTTTCAAAGATTTACCAGGCAATGCAGAGCTGTTTTTGAAAGTCTTTAAAAGTGCTAGTTAACATCATAAATGACCATTTCGTGGAATAAGTTCTCTCATTCTCTCACTGGTTTACTTTGGCTATAGGGATTAGTGAAATGGCTTTGGATTTCCTTAACATTTTCCCTTTTATCTTTACAAATTGAAAAGTTAGTATTGCCATGTAATGATGGCATCTAAAGCATTTATATTGTGGTTGCTTTTTTGTCTATGGAAAGAATCCTTATGATTCACTTATAAGGAGCTATTTCTTTTACTTTCTGTTCCCTTAGGAAATCAAGTCTTTCTGACCAGTTTTATATGTGGAAATTGATGCAAACATCTTTATGCTTAACTCCATGTCCTTTTTTACCCAAACAAGTATCTTCTGCCTACATTTCTTTCCCCCAAGATGCAAAGGTGCTTTTATTACTTGATTTCCTAAAGGCTCTGGGTGTATAAATGTTTCATATGTTTTCTGTTGTTAACTACAAACTTGACTACATAAAAGATACAAATTGCAGTATTGCAATTTTTATTTATTTTTGTTGCTGTTGTTGTTGTCTCTTTAACACACAAGATTCATCATCTTTCTCCAAGAGATTTTTAACTTGGAAAACTGAAAAGTTGTTTGTAAGCCTGGTGGGATAGCAACAATGTGTGGGATGTGATTTGAGACCAGTGGTGTGCAGGATCCAGCCCCTACCAGCTCTCCTGACAACAAACTATTAAATTTTCAGAAATTTTCTGAGCTGGTTATCAGTAAAAATTAAACTATATAAACTTATCATTAAAATAAATTATATTAAAAACAAAAAATAAGTACTCAAAACTCATCACTTCATAATTATTTTTACTACATTTTACTGTTATCAATGCTCTTGAAGTCATTTGTGCCTATTTTATCTGCATTGGAAATACTGTATAATGGTGTATACTACTGAACACTTTTTCCAGCCCTGTGTTCACTGAGGTCATGTTGGTAACTTGAAATCAGCCACCAAAGAGGTACTAACCCCATGGAAATTGGCAAACACAACAAATCAGGACTTGATTTATTGTTTTGTTAATTGTCTAGACTTAAGAAAGCGATAAAGCGTTAATAATGTAGATTAAACTTGAAAGTGTGTCATGTCTATAGCCACTATATTTTGAATAGCACAAAAAACTTGAGAAAATATTTTTCCAGTATTTGAAGCTATTATCTGATTCAGCAAAGAAGTGGTTCACTCCATGGAGAAATGAATGAGTGAAGTTCTGATGTATGTCTGTTTTCATGTTCCTTTTTCTCATTAACTTGAACAAAACCGTCAACCAACTAAGCAGAATTGTAAGAATGATATATTGCTCCAAGTATACCAGACATCAGATGCTAAATACATCAGGAAACCTTTTATAGTTCTCTTCTGAAAACCATGCTACTCACAAACATGCTGCGTCTTTTCCAACTCATCTGTGACTTTTCCTCTCTTTGCTCTAAAGGTTATTGTTAAAGGCTATGACACATTCATTTGTTCAGTCATCCACACCCATCCCTGTGACCACAAATTACCTTCAAATGGTGTTACAAAAAGTCTGTGGGAAAAGAGAAACATCTTAGTACTGGATTTATGAAATCATAGCTTTCCTTCCTTGGAGACATAATTCTGTTATTTAACCCACTGTTGGGAGGTTGTTTAGATTTACATATCAGGGGGAAATGGCTTTACCCAACAGAATTTGTTTTCCTAAGCCTTAGGGATAGTCTGATGATCCATGATAGCATATGCAATTCACACAAGTAAATGTGGGTAAGAATATCATATGGTTAAAGTTCAGTTTCTAAGCCTTGAGTGACCAGGTTTTGAAATACATTCAGAACTCTATTACACACCTGCTCCTTATGATGGGGTAATCTGGTCAAGCCCCTGCCTTCAGAAACTTAGTAACCCTATTTTAATTGATGTTTCAGCTTTAGTCAGTTGAGTATCACCCTCATCATTTTTGTCATATCCATGTATCTCTTGTACCTTTATTTACTTAGTAATTTTTAAAATTGACTTTTTCCTTTTAACATAGCTTTATCCTAGGTGACATTACCCATGATCTTGAGTTTAAGGTAATTATCTTGAGTTTAAAGTTATTTTTTTCTAATACTTATTAAAATATTGCCTAACAATTACAATTTTTAAAAGTTTGTCCTTGTACCACCAATGGTATGTGTACCACACTTTGGGAAATGTTATGCTTCTGGTGGTAATAACTAAGCATTAGGTCAAATAGTTTTGTTTATTCCTCATGTCAACTTTATGAGGCAGGCATTGCTATCTCTATTTAGTAAGTGCGGAAACTGAGAAATTAGAGATGTTAACTAACTTGTCCAGAGTCATGAGTTGAGCCAAAATTTACTTGACCAAGATCCATACTAACCCTTGCTACTCACAGTATGATTTGCAGACCAGCAGTATCAGCATCACCTGGGAGCTTGTTGGAAAGGCAAAAGCTCTGGCCCGGCTCCAGACCTAATTGATCAGCATCTGAAGTTTAACGAGATTCCCAGGTGATTCTCATGGACGTTAAGCTGTGAGAAGCCTTGATCCAGACTCCTGTGTGGTCTGCCTACTGTAAGAGAAGAAGATGGATCCTTCGGCCATTGATTTGGCTGGTCTCCTTTTCTCTCTGCGGTACTGTTTCCTTCATGCCCTGCTGCTCTGAGATACAACTGGTTTTTGAGAAACTTGGTTATCGATGGGAAGGTAGGAGATAGTATTCTTAATCATTTTGGTTATTTTTCTCTCTTAAAGTCATCTTTTGTTTGCTTTCCTTTTTTCCTTAATTGAGGTATCAAGGCTAGGCTGAGAGCTCAACATTTTCACTCTTTTCTCTCCTGGTTTCCTTCCCCAGAATCCCCAGATCAAGTTCTTGCCCTTTGAAATGGCCTGGTCGTTTTTTTCCTGCCTACCCCAAACCTGCCTAGGCCCTGAGAACCGTCTGCACAGCTACAACTAATTTTCAATTATTCTTGGATGGTTGTAATAGTATGTATACCATCCTGACTCTTGGCTTCTTTCCTTCTGCCTGCTGCTCTCTGCCACTTAGCTATTTTATTGCTTGCTTTTCTTTGCAGTAAGCTGTGCTTACCTCTGCACTTGTGAAGCCTCTGTCTCCATTCTGCCATGCATCTCACTCTTGCCGTTGCTCTCACAATTGGAAGTTTTAATACAAGCAACAGCCTCAGGAGACCCTATTAAGGCAATCTTCTGGAAGTGGTCAAAGTGTTGGGAATTTGATGGTTGGTTCTGGGAACATCAGGAATGGCTGTGACTGATGAGCATAACTGGCTATAAATTTTGAAGTATTCCAGTGTGTCATCAGTATTTCATCAGCTTATTGTCTTTGTGTTTTTTTTCATAGAATTTCCCTGTGAATCCTATGCCTGGAGGAGTCTGCAGGGTTTCTAGACACCGCACCCAGTTTGTACAGTTACAGGCCTTCTGTCTTGGTATTTATGTAGTTGCTTATTCAGCCTCCAAGATGACTAGTTAATTGAGATGAGTAGAAGTTGGATCTATCATGAGATCACACCTTGCCTTCTTGTTCACTGGTGGCCAGATACACGTCACAATAGTATTTCATTTTCTTAACTTTGATACTGTTAAAAGGGAGTTGACTCATTTGAATTAGAAGAGGCACTGAAAGAAAACTGTACTATTCGTTACATATTGTAAAGCGAGAAACAAAGAGGAATAGTTGTTTCTTACTGTAGTAATTTCAGACTCTGAAAGATTTGTTTATCAGCCAACTGTAGACACACCTATCCCAACCCAGATATTTTTTAATGCTCTTCAGCTTTGTAGTCATTTAGACTTGAGGTTTTTTTGGTTTTTTTTTTTTCTCCTTTCTGGCACATTTTTTGGGTATACACCCTTCTTCCTTCCCCTTTGTCATCTTCTTATTTCCTTGAGAAAAGGAGAGTCCCTCTTAGAGTGTAGAGTAAACATTTCTTTGTGAAGTGTGACTTATTTAAGCTTCAGGGGTTGTCAGTGTATACACAATAGAGAAGGTAATGGAAGCTCCCAGGCATGCCAAGTCAGCACTTTGTGCGTGTGAAGGCCAAAGAGCACGTTAAGCAGGCTGAAAAAATTTTAACAAGTCAGAACATTTTACAATTTCCATATTTATCAAACATGTCAGGGGATGGCATCACAAAGCCTTCCAGGGATTAACTGCCTCTAGGACTTGAACTGTTTTATTAAGATGGAGGAAGCCAAGTTCTCAACACCCCATGATTTGCTCTAATAACCACAAGAGTTAGAATGTAGGTGATCCTTGCTGAATGAAAGGTAATCCTGAGGCTAAAATGCTCCTTGAATGGGGAAAAAAAAATCTCTCAACAGATGAACTGTGTGTAAATCTATCTGACAGACCTTTGGAGTTTGAAGTTTATTTACCTAGAGCTTCAGTTTTATTAATTCTCTGGTTGGTGGTTCTTGACCTTTGACACTTAAGGGCTTAGAATATGAAGCCTAAGTAGATGTTCGGAAACATGCAGACATTCTCGAAGAGGGGTGGCCATTGGGTTTTTGGGGTTGGCGAAGCATCCTAGAGTTACTATTTGTTTTCAAATGTTTGGGGCTTGGCAGATCCTAAGATGCCTTTTGCCAAGCATTTTCCTTTGAATTTTAGTACAGGAATATCCTGGGTGGAATTTAATTGCTTTATTGGTGATTCATTTGCATTATACCGATCAGAACGCTGTTTTGGAAAAGATACTTGATGACTCACAAATATTAGGAGCTTTGCAGACAGCTTTTTTAGTACCAGCATTTTCTTAGATGAGGATAGAAATGGAATTCAAGCTCCAAATATTTTCAGTAAGATTTGGAACTTGGAATCTTTAAGTAGTGGTTTCTAAATTTGTTTATCACTTTTTCCACAAAAGCAAACCAGACTGCTTCCCTGGCTTGATCTGCAAATCTTTAGAAAACTTGCAGACCTGATCTGCAACCTTGCGCCAACTCTTAATTTGGAAATTAATGTTAAAGAAAAAAAAGGTTTCCAACAAATAGGTAGAGAGAGCAACCCTCTTCTGGAGAAATAAACTGGAATTAAAACAACGACCCAAGGAGACTAAGCATAGGGTAGATTTTGGGTTCTAAAGCCAAATTACCAGGAATGAAAAAACCCCTGGGGAGGACTAAAGTTATATAAGGTGCCATGAGCTAGCTTTTCCATTACAGTTTGTAGAAAAGCTTGTAAAACAAGGAAGCAAGCTGAGACTTTACAAATGAGGACTAAGCCATAAACTTTTTAAAGAACAGAGAAAGGACATGGCTAAATGGCACTGAACTTCTTACTGCCCATTGGGTTGCAGCAAAGCATGATGATAAAAACAAGCTTCTTCTTGTCTATCGCCAGCTTCCTATCTTTTATAATTGGCCCAGAAACAGCAGTGCCAGCAACTTGAATGACTACTCACTGTCTCCTTGAGAAAACAGCAATGCAAATAATCATCTAACAGGAGAAGGAAAAAGCATTTCAAACAAACTGATGTGGATGTCTTCACGTTCAAATTATTTTAAAACTAACTGGTAGGAAATGTCGGGAAATTTTAGTTATGAATTCTGCTAACCGGTGTTAGGAGAGGACAGAATCATATAGACTCTTTTATTTGCTTCAGATAGTGGGTTGCAGGAGGCATGGACGTGTGGTTGAGCTAGTGTTGATGAGTTTCTTCTCTCCCTTAATCCATGTGTTCTTCTAACTGCTTAAAATGCCAAAGAAGCAGGGAGATCTGTTTTGAATCCTTGACTTTATCCTGGTACTGGTTTAACTGGTGAGATTATTAGGTGGTCTATAGAGAACCACACTGATGTAGGTCTAAAATTTATTTGGGCCAACTTTAAGTAATTGTAAGTGTTCCTTTCAGTGTAAGTAAAAAGTCATATTTTTCTTCTTAAACTTTGGTCCTGATGACCTTAAAACAGACAATTTGCTGAAGACAACCTTTTCCTTTTTCTCTTCTCTTTCTCTACCTTTCTTTTCTTGTTCCTCCTTCTTACCCTTTCTTACTGGTTATAATCTAATTAGTGGGTGCTTATTAATGACCAGCGGGAACATTGTGACATTTTACTTTTTGCCCACTTGCAGTCTGTTCTAGCAGGGAGGATTTGTGTGAAATTGAGAGGAAAAGATGGATCCCACCCATTCGATGCTATTACTTTTTAGAAAATCGAAATGATTTGTTGCATTGTTGAGAGCATACCTTATATTTGGACAATAGAGAATATAAGTAAACATTTTAAGGGCAGCTCTTGCTTTATACTTCTTATCTGCAACAGTACCTTCTACATAGTAGAGGCTGAATACTAAATAGTTACTGATTTTAATTCTGTTAATTTTTGAGTATGAGGGAAGATAAATTAATTCTGTATCTTAATATGTTATGCAGGAGTGGTAAACAATATTTTCTGCCAAAAATCCATTAACCATAGGAAACAAAAACCAATGAGGATCATATAAGTAAGAAGTAATTTAGTTTTTACAAGTTTAATTTTTTTAGAGAGAAGAATAAAATGTTCTGCAGTCTGCATTTCAAATTAAAATCAAGAAGCAAAGCGTTCTCATGAATAAGTATGTGAAACAATAATGTGAAAATACCTTACCTCTGTATTTACTACTGTTCTACAGTAGGTATTATTTAATGACTGGAGGACAAGCCAGGGTGTAATATGGGATAGGAGAAAAGAGAGCATCTTATTTAGCCTAGACTGCTATGGTAAAATACCACAGACCAGGTGGTTTAAACAACAGATACTTATTTCTCATATTTCTGGAGGCTGGGAAGTCCAAGGTCAAGGTACCTGCAGATTCAGTTCTTGGTGAGCGCTCTCTTCCTAGCTTGTAGACAGCTGCCTTCCTGCTCTGTATTCATCTGGCCTTTCCTCGGTGCTTGTGTGTGGAGAGAGAGTAGGACCTCTGTGGCCCTCTTCTTATAAGGGCACTAATCCCATCACGAAGATCCCACCTTCGTAGCTTAATCTAACCTAATTACCTCCCAAAGACCCCACCTCCAAATACCATCACATGGGGGGAGTAGGGCTTCAACATATGAATTTTGGGGGGAATACATTCAACCTGTAATAGAGAGCAAGATATGCAAGCTGTCATGAATGACGATTTACCTGCTTAAAAAAGAAAAGCTTTATAGATTTGTTCAGGGTTTAAAATGATTAGATTTTTAAAATTTAAACTATTTTCTCAATTCTTCTCAGTTTTATCTTCTTAGATTTAGTAGCAGCACTACTGGAAACCCTGGCTTCCTCCTCTGGAAATTGCAGAATACTGTATTTCATTGTAGAAAAAAAGGTTCTGTGGAAGAGCTTGTACATCTTGTAGCCATTTGGAATATTGCTTCTAAAAAATGTTTAAAGCCATCTATAAACTTTGTGGTTTTCAGTATAAAATGTGATTAATTATTGATACTTCTCTACAAACCATATAGAATTATGCTGTGGTCCAATTTAAGCTCATTAGATGAAAGATCTTCCATTTTAGTATAGTGTTTATAATATATAAGATATAGGATAATAGGATTCTAGGGATTTTTAAATTCTAATATCTCCTGTGTTTCTACCATATTAAGAGGCCATTTCACATCATGTACTCACTATAGGAGGCTTTTACTATATAATATGTCATGTATCTGCATAAATAAGATTTCTATTTAGAAGTAAGCTTCTTCAGAGCCCATTTTTATTTATTTATTTATTTATTGGTGTTTATCATTCCAGTGCTTTTTATTTTTAAATTTTTTAAAATGTTTTTTTAACTTTATTTTTGGCTGTGTTGGGTCTTCGTTGCTGCACATGGGCTTTCTTCTAATTGTGGCGAGTGAGGGCTGCTCTTCATTGCGGTGCACAGGCTTCTCATTGCATTGACTTCTCTTGTTGTGGAGCATGGGCTCCAGGCGCAAGGGCTTCAGTAGTTGTGGCTCATGGGCTCTAGAGCACAAGCTCAGTAGTTGTGGCACACGGGCTTAGTTGCTCTGCGGCATGTAGGATCTTCCCGGACCAGGGCTCGAACCCGGGTCTCCTGCATTGGCAGATGGATTCGTTATTAACCACTGCGCCACCAGGGAGGCCCCTATTTATCTTTCATGCATATAATTTTTTTTTTAACTGAAGTATAGTTTGTTTACGAATGTTGTGTTAGTTTCGAGTGTACAGCAAAGTGACTCAGATATATATATATATATATATATATATATATATATTCTTTTTCAGATTCTTTTCCATTATAGGTAATTAAAGATATTGAAT